AGAAATTGAAATAGATCCTGTTTACAGAAGCCAAACAAACCTCATTCTGTATTATAGGTTTCCAGTTAGTAAGTTGTCATTAAGAAGAGAAAGTCCACATGCATGATCGGAAATGATTGTTTAAGTCACTTAATTTCTGAACAAGACTACAATGAGGTCATATGAGTTTTATGAGTTCCATGTAATGTTTTATCTGCAGCATCTGCTTGCTAATGTTTGGGAATTTTATTGTATCATATGATTGATTTTAATTGCTGTTAGCTTCTCTCTGTGGTATGTAAGCACTACATCGTATGATACAAGTTTTTTTTTCTAGAAATAAAGTGAAAAAAGTACAGGACTGGATTTAATTCTAAGTTGGTCTCCCAATCATATACCAGTACCCAAACTCTCTCTTTCCAACTCTTATACTGTTGAATTCCCAAAGGCTCACATCTCCTTGAAATGAGATTTGTAGAATACTGAAGATGCTGCAGAGGAAACTTGAGGACAAATATCTGTATTTATCAACACCACAACCCTTGTTGCCTGAGAGATTCTGGCCCTTACAGATTTCCAAAAGAATATTTTACTGCAATGGAAATGAACTTTGAAAAATGAATGATTTTTTTTCTCTTCTTCATCCACAGCCCCACATATTCTTGTGTTATTTCAGGCTGTGATGACTCTAATACAAGCCTACCACACTGACTTGTTAATAATACAGGATAACTATTTATCAGTGTGCTTTCATTGGATGTTTCTGCATGGCAGAGGGTTGAACTGGATGACACTTGTGGTCTTTTCAATCTCTATGATTCTATGGAGAAGTTACACAGTCAATTCCCATGTCAGGTGAGAAGGGTACACATTTTAGTGTTAATTGACATTTCTGCTATAGTTGTCTTTATTTTATAGGGATTTTATTGCTCCTAGACACATAGAAGGCCCTATTTTGGTGAGAGTAGAACAATGTCAATTTAATAAATGCAGGGTTAGCCTGGTTTGTGCAGGTGCTCACAATAATTTTTCTAATATATTGGGATGGGTGAATGAGCCTTCCTACAACGTATGTGCAAGGTTATAACAATAAGAAAAGAACTGAAGTTCACTTAGTAAGGGACCACTTTGTCAAATATCACCCATTTCAAATCCAAGGCAGAGCCTTGCTTCAGTTTTTCTAGTACTTCAGCTATCTTCCCATTATCTATAATAAAGAAATCCAAAAGTAGAAGCAATTTATTTTATTTCTTGACAAAATTAGATAAAATTTCCTGGAATACTATCCTGCTCTGAGGGGATGAAATCTACCAAATATCAAAGCATTGGGGATTGGGGAAGAGAATGAGAAAATTTTAAAGCAATGGTACATGATATTATTTCAGAGTTTGACAACTTGGTTAGCAAATCCAGTGGCCACTGGATATTAATATTGTACACATCTTGAGACAAAGTGCTTTAAAGTTTCAATTATTCCCTTAAAAATTCTTTTCTGATTAAAACAGTACCCCTGGGCCCTGGAACAAATCCAAACTTTCAAAATGCTCACTTTGCTTTGGGCTGCTTGAGAGAAGTCCTGTTCCACTTTGAATTATTATTTTTTCCCCTACAGGTGTTGCTGTTCACCTCTACAGGACCACAACATTCTCATTCAGAAATGATTGCAAATTTCATTATAAATTATGTGGCCAGGTAGCATGGGTAACACACGGTAGGAAAATCAATAACAGAAGCAGCAGGAGCCGAAAACTCAAATGTCATTTCTCATTCCATTGCCTATTTGACGTCTGTTTCTATGGGGGTGAGAGAAGTTGCTGCAAATTGTAAAAGAAAGTAGAACTGCAAATTGTATGTCTGGGATGGCAAAAGGTTATAGGCACAAATGTGGGGAATATTTACACATCAGGGACAATCTGTTTTTGTTTACAGAGCATGAACAGACTTCTAAATGAAAGTATTTGGCAGTGTAATTCAATTCCTTGGTTCTTTAAATACACAAGTACTAACAACAGTATCGGTGCCCTCCCCACCTGTACAATTTTGCCTCAGTACAGAATAACGCATTTAGCAAACATGATTGAGGGTCATTTCAGAAGGAACACAAATAGTTTTCTAGAGCTTGAGTACTTCTCTTCCTCATTCACTAAGTACTATTTTTAGCATACTGTAATGTGGCAATATACGATAATTGGAAGGCAAATTAGTATTCCTGGAATCATTCCAGCTGATGCATTAAAACATTAATGTATCTTTGCTTTTGAGAATTTTGCTAATAATCCTCTGCTTTTCCCTGTCTTATTTGGGGGGGGGGGGGCTCAATAAACTCTCATCACAACATGGTTGAAAATCAGAAAAAGATCAAGATTCTGTTCCAAGCTTCAAACAGCTATGCACAAAAAGAACAGTGGGGAATAAAATCTTTAACATGCATGAAAACCTTAAAGACTTAAACAAATCTTCTTACTAAGAAGAAACAGCTGGTGAATTTAGGCTATACAAATTCTTTAAAAAGCTTTGAAAACTTTCCATGGAGATAAAAATGTTGTTTTAAAGCTTTGAGGTTCAAACACCAAAAACCATTTCAGTTAATAAAGCCTGAGTGAGAATTTAATTTTTTTTTAGAATTTATCTGAAATTCACAAGTCTGAAATGAAGAAAAAAAACAAAATTGCCAGATTTGCCCCCTTTTGTGAGGAGTTAGAATTTCATTTACTTATTAGGAGTCTTTCACGATTGCCCGTATAGCGTCTGCAGCAAATAGATCATTGGAGCTGTTTCGCGTTGTCGGGGAGCTCCTTCACGCACCTGCAGTGGAGGAGACCTTCGATGACCCAACAGCTTGGTGTCGCGAGTTCGCACACCATTTTGCTGGCAAAGTTGCTCAGATACGCCTTGAGTTGGACTCCAATTTCATCACAGTGCCAGGGGAGGTGATTGAGGCATCTGCTTGTCCAATTTTGTGAGATTCTTTTAGGCTTGTTCTTCCTGAGACCGTGGAGGAGGTCCTTGGTGCTGTGAGCGCGACCATGTCGGCTTTAGACCCTTGCCCATCTTGGCTAATTAAATTGGCCAGGGATGGGTTGACTGATTGGTTTGTGTTGATCATTAATGCATCATTGGAGCAGGGGGGTTTTCCATCTCAACTAAAACAGGCTCTGGTCCGACCACTCCTTAAAAAGGTCTCCCTTGATTCCACGGTGCTGAACAATTACAGACCAATCTCCAACCTCCCTTTTCTGGGCAAGGTGCTGGAGTGGGTGGTCACCTCCCAGCTCCAGGGCTTTCTAGATGACATCAATTATCTGGACCAGTCACAGTCTGGCTTCAGGCCTGGCCACGGCACCGAGACAGCTTTGGTCACGTTGGTGGATGACCTCCGCAGGGAGCTGGACAGGGGGAGTGTGACTCTGTTGGTTCTCTTGGACATCTCACCGGCTTTTGATATCATCGATCATGGTATCCTTCTGGGACGACTCTCTGGGATGGGTCTCAGGGGCACGGTTTTGTCGTGGCTCCGGTCCTTCCTGGAGGGTCGATCCCGGATGGTGAAGCTAAGAGACGCCTGCTCAGACCTGTGGGGTCCCGCAAGGCTCCATTCTGTCTCCCATGCTTTTTAACATCTACATGAAACCTCTGGGAGAGGTCATCCGGAGTTTTAGAGTTGGGTGCCATCTCTATGCAGATGACACACAACTCTACTACTCCCACCCAAGAAACACAGGAAGCTTCCCATGTTACCAAATCTAAGGGAGGACATTGTGCACACCACATGTGCTCCACGCTTCCCCCATGTTATTGCCCTCCCAGTGGATAAGGCATGGGTCCCCATGCCTCGCAGTGAAGAAGTGCACTGTGGTTGGATATGTGAAGAGATCCTGAGATGGGTTTTATACCTAGCTTAATTATATTTCAAATACAAATTGATCTATAAAGGTCAGCAAGAAGCTTGGAAAAAACCCTGCTTCTTCTGGACAAGTGATTGGTCATTTTAATCATCTCAACATACAAAGCAAATTTTCATTCCAGCCAGGCATATGTACTAGTTAAGTTGATGTGCTTAGCATGGTGTGAATTGTCCTTCCATCACATTCATTTCCAAATCACTGGTGACCACTTTTTCAAGCTGTCTGCAATAAAAAAAGCACTTGAGGATCTAATAATAATAATAATTCATGTTCCTCTAGAACATGGCCATATAGCCCGAAAAAACCTACAACAACCCAGTGATTCTGGCCATGAAAGCCTTCGACAATAATAATAATAATAATAATAATAATAATAATAATAATAATAATAATAATACAACTGCAAAGACTCTGGCACAAGCCAGTAAAGGTGGTCCAAGTGATGACTGGCACACTGGGTGCAGTGCCTAAAGACCTTGGCCTGCATTCAAATGCGATCGGCGCTGACAAAATTACCATCTGCCAGCTGCAGAAGGCCACCTTACTGGGATCTGCACGCATTATTCGCCGATACGTCACACAATCCTAGACACTTGGGAAGTGTCCGATGTGTGCTCCAATACAACAGCCAGCAGAGTGTCTGCTGTGGACTCAACTTGTTGTGTTTCAAATAATAATAACAACTTTATTTATATTCCACCGTATCTCCCCTGGAAGACTCAGGGCAGATTCCAACAAACAAAAAGTCAAAGATTCAATGCCTCAATAACAGTAAATACAAATATAAAAACACAAGCTAACTCCATATAAAGTGCAACTTAAACATAACAACTATAATTTAAATAAAACATAATCAATTGAAAATTATAATTAACATAGAACCTAAACATAAAACATCTGAATTAATATATCAAATATTAATACATCTTTGATCTCTTGAATATCAGTTCCATTTTAGCTTATCACAAAAGGACACAAACCTCCATGTCACAAAACCTTGGGTCTCATAAATATGAATTGCTATTCTCCATGAGGCCTGTAGCCTACTCAATGAAGAAAAATAGAGAATTAAAACATATTTATATTAAAAACCAGAAGTCATGGTTGAGTACCTACCACCTTTCATCATTCCAACTTCATAGCATTTCCGCAGTCTGCAAGCCTGGCAGCTTTTCCTCCTGTTCTTATCAATAGTGCATTGGTTGGTAGCAGGACACATGTAGTCATTGTGACCTATAAAATCAGATGGAATTCAAAATGACAATGACATCAAAGCAAAGTACATCAAACTGTAAGAGGTTTTTTACAGAAGCACCTGTGATGTGTTCCAGAGTGTTTAGTATGTTTAATTAAAGGCGAATTGGGCACAAATATATAGAGATTCTTCAGAGGAGAAAAAAAAACAACTATATGGAATAGAAACTAAAAGGCTGATCCACACAAATTTCATGGTAGCTTGAGGTTCATGAACTCATGGTATGGTGCAGGTCTGAAACATGTGCCCTACCAATTGTTTTGCTTACTACTGCCTGCCTATACAGTGTGTGAATACAGAATATAATTTACTACACAGTGCTTTCCATATGTTTACTTGTACACCTATAATTAATTTCAAGTCAAATTCTCGTTGTTACTGAGGGAGATGATACATGTGGACTTAATGGTTAAAGAGTTTATCTAAAGCAGAAATGGGCAAACTTTTTGACACAAGGTCGCATTGCATTTTAAAATTTGACAGATGGGCCAGGCCAGTGGCATATGGATAGAGAGGGATTGTGGGAACTAACTGGGGGAAAAAACATGAACAAATTCCTATGCACACTGCACATATCTCATTTGAAGTGTAAAAAAATGAGAGATAGAACAGAACAATAATTAAAATGAAGAAAATTTTTAAAGAACACAAATTTAACAGTATTTCAATTGAAGACCCCAGGGGCCATCCAGTCCAACCCTCTTCTGCCATGCAGGAAAAACACAAAGCATCCTTGGCAGATGGCAATCCAGCAGTAATAGATAATAGTAATAGGGACAACCTAGGGGCCATCCAGTTCAACCCCATTCTGCCATGCAGGAAAAGCAGAGGGAAACAGGGTTTTGGAAGCAAGCAAGGTGAGGGAAAAATGCTTTTGGCAGCAAGGGAGGTGAAGGGAATGGGGTCTGGGCAGTGGGCCTTAATTTGCCCGTACCTGATCTAGAGTGGAAAGGCAAAATGAGAAAAAAAATGATAATGTTCTTAATCTGTAGATTTTGATAAAAGATATCTGATCTATAATGGAAAGAGACCACCAATAAAAAAAATAAAATAAAAACCTGCTATGTGGTACTGTATCTGTTCTTCAAGAACAGCAACTGGCAAAGTGTGTACTATGAACTGTCTACATCTTGCATTGGTCCCGAGCCATCTATATCTCTCACTCACCATTCAATTTTAAATATTTACATGTTTTAAAATGTGGCAAAAGCCCTTCTCGTTGTGACTGTGCACTGGAACTTCATTGACATAGTCACTGAATTATGCACAATCGATCCAAGATCACATTTCTGGATCTTGAAAGCCAGTTTAAATCCCAAACAATAAACACAGGCTTCTGAGCAATGTTACCCCAGTGTACATCATGTTTTGCTTTCTTACAATGAAGTGCTCCAAACATCTGCTTGACTTTAAAAAAAATCACCTTAAACTTTGTGATTTCAACAATATGGCAAAATTCAGTGTTTTTAAAAAGGAAATATATGGGTTTTGGTATATAATATTTCTCAAAGATCCATTAAGAGTTTTATGGTTCTTTTCTTCTTGCAATGTGTAGTTTTTTCCATTTCAAAGAGATAATAAAACAGAAACATCCCTTTTCCAGATGATACTTGCATATAACACACACACACACCCCATCTCCCACTCCTCAAAAGACGGATCCAATCGCCTGTGGCAGATTCCAGTCCCTGAATAGTTTGGCAAATAGCTATAATGTCTTGTCTCAGTCTCCCTGCTTGATAAATCAAAATTGTTTAAAGTGCCTGGCAAGTCATCAAACCAACAGCTGTACTAGATTTTTTTTTTTTTTTAAAAAAAGCATACTTAATCACTCATCACCATCTTCCTGTGATCACCCAGGAGACAATAATTGTTTTCAAGAACCCATTTTAAGACTGACAAAATGAAAAGACTATTAACTCATTATTCCTTTTATTGGAAATAGTATACTTGTCACCCCCATTTTATAAAGGACTTTGCCCCTTTTCAAGAGTCCTGCATCAAGGGTCCTGCATGCTAAAACCATATGATTTACTGTACTAGCTCTTCAAAGAGTTAATGTCCTAAATTTAAAGCTAATCTGGAATTTCCCATCAATCAAGGATGATTGGCACACAACCCCACCCACCCCAAAATGATATCTTTTTTCATGATCAACCCTGGCAAGGTTGTGACAAATGTTACCAAAGAATACCTGACAACTTATTTATATAATAACCTACTGATCATCACTGACCAAAAAGGGATGGGTGGAGAAGCCAATTCAAAGACAAATGAGATCCTGCCTTCAAGATGACAATTGTGTGCCAAACAAGCAGACCTGATTTACGACTTTGCCAATCAGATTGGCTGCAATCTCCTGATCTTGGCCACTGATTGGCTTGCTGACTGCAAACATGTTCTTGGAAGGTAGAAACTGAGCTCGAATCACTATTTATCAAGTTGCCATACTTAGCACCCTAGCCACTAAAAGACGGACAAGACTGTAGACCCATTGCTGCATTTGAGCCATAAACCTATTGCCAGAGTGGAGTAAATGGATTCTCATCACTATAAAAATTGACACTGAGCTTGATCAAAAGTTTGCACAAACTAAGGATTGCTTGGTTGCACAGTGAATCATCCTTATCTTAGCCTCCACCCAAAGCCTTTAGTGTCTCCTTTCAACAAGTTCCTCAACCTCAACAAGTTGTGCCAAGCCTGTCAAGGACTTTGAGAAAATAAAAATCTTGTTTGATGTTCAATCTGGAGATGTCTTAGTTGCTGGGACTCCTGAGTTTCAAAGTCAGGTGATACCAGTGCAGTCCTCACACCTAAACTCACTGATGCTAACATTTTCCACAGAGGAGCTGTGTTAGTACACCAAACAGTCTAATGAATACACCTTAAGAAATACCAAGTTTAGATTGTAGTTTAGGATATAAAACTCTCTTGGGCCCCATCTACACAGCCCTAAATTTCAGGCCAGGAAATGGATTAGCCTGAGGCACCCAGATGACATCTCAAGCTAGTCTGGTTTAACCTGGAGAAAACCTGGCAATCCAGGTTTACTCCGGGTTTTAAAAAAAAACCTGTTCCATACCTTCCTGGGTATGGAGGGGTGGGGACTGATCCTTGGGATTGCCAACACATGGCATGCCAGGAGCTCTCTACAGGCCATATGCCTCCATTTGAAGGCTTTTGGATAACTTTTAAACTAAAAGTGGGGGCACGGGAACAGAGGCGATACCCCCATGCCGATTCGGATCAGCCCAAAAGGATATCCGTCCAACCTCTGCCAAAAAGGCGAGGCTTTGGTGAGCCTACTGGACACTAAATACGAGTGAAATTGGCATTTATAACATCAATTTCACTGTATTGTCGAAGGCTTTCATGGCCGGAATCACTGGGTTGTTGTAGGTTTTTCCGGGCTATATGGCCATGTTCTAGAGGCATTTTCTCCTGACGTTTCACCTGCATCTATGGCAAGCATCCTCAGAGGCAGTGAGGTCTGTTGGAAGTAGGAAAATTATATATCTGTGGAATGACCAGGGTGGGACAAAGGACTTCTGTCTGCTGGAGCTAGGTGTGAATGTTTCAATCGGATAGACAATAGACAATTGCGGAGGAATTTAAAGAACAACTTAGAACCTCAGGCTTCCAGACAATGAAAACATGGTTTGATGTGGCAATGTTTCAGAAACCAAAAGGTCTTATATCATATATATACAAAAATTTATTGACTTGGCACACAGAAGAGGAAATAGTAAAAGATTCTATGGTTAGATGGGACCAAAATATAGGCCAAGAGATAAAAATGTCCCAGTGGGAAAAGACATGGAAGAGAAGAATGAAATACACTGCATGTCAAAACCTAAAGGAAAATGTTTATAAAATGCATTTGCGATGGTATCTCTCTCCAGAGAGACTAGCTAAGATGTACAATTGTTCCAACAAATGTTGGAAATGTGGGAAAGAAAAAGGTACATTCTACCACACATGGTGGACTTGTAGAAAAGTAAAAAAATTACTGGAAACATCCATGTATATCTTGAAAAAATGTTAAACACAAATTTCAAAATGACACCTCAAATGTACCTTTTGAATATGCCCGAGGAAGAATTAGAAAGAAAATTTGGAAAAATTTTGTTTTACACAACATTCTCCTTTAGAAGAATGGGAAAAATATATTATAGATATTTTGATAATGGACAAAATAACTGTATTATTAAGAGGAGAAATATTAGACAACTTCGTTAATGAATGGCAACCAATGATTCAACACCTTAATGTAAAGTTAAATTAAAAATGTATATAGAGGATCCTATAAGATTGTAGACAAGGAAGAAGTGGATGTAAAGTAAGAATCTATGATATCTTTCTAGGTAATATTTAGATAGTAGACTGCGACCCCTTAATAGAAATATATTATGAGATAAAGGATTATAGAACATTAATAGATAGAAAGTATTGCACTATATGCAACAAACACTTGCAAATGTATGTTTACTTAAATAAAATAAAAATAAAATTAAAAAAAAGAAGCACCATTAAAGCCTTGGCAGACTGTGCAAAAAGAATCTGCAAACCCCACCTCCTCCCAAGATGAACTGAACCACCTCAACTGTGCTCTACAGGCCAATGGATACTCCACCTCAGACATCAGAAGAGCTGCAAGACCAAGAACAAGCCACGAGAGTAAAGACAAAGATCCACCCAGAGGAAAAGTGTTCTTGCCATACATCAAGGGAACCACTGACCACATAGGGAAGCTGATGAGGAAACACAACATACAAACCACCTACAGACCCACCAAGAAAATCCAACAAATGCTATGTTCAGCAAAGGACAAGAGGGATCCTCTCACCGTGTACCATGCAGCTGTGGGCAAGTCTACATAGGGACCACCAAACACAGCGGCCAAACACGAATAAAGGAACATGAAAGGCACTGCAGACTCCTTCAACCAGAGAAGTCAGCCATAGCAGAGCACCTGATG